CCCTCGCGGGGGAGGGGAGGTTAGCCGTGGATGACCCCTATTAAAAATTTTACTGAATTATCACCGATAAACAAGCGGCAACCGATAAAGCACTTCTGACTTCTAATCTGTCAAACTTCTAAAGAAAACATGGCATGGGCTGGCAATATGTACGCTTTCAGTTAAAACTGTGTGATGAATAAAATTCACACTTTTCATTTATACTTTTCTTGTTCCAGAAAAAGAATAACTCCATTAAAATGAAATTGAATTAATTTTCCCAGGTATTTCAACTGTGCAGGATAATCATTTTCAACTCATTAATTTATTCTTCAACCTTCCAACTGAATTTGCAAACGCCGCAAATGAAGCATTAGCCTATGAGGGAACTGAGGGAGATGAGGTCAGGGGGAGAGGAGAGGGAGAGGAAGGGTTGTAAATTTGGGGGTGTGAGACGAGTGCAAAATTCAGCAGCGCATAAGCGAAAAGCTGACACCTGTCAGCCTGAGGGAAGGAGGGGGGGGGAGAGAAATGAGGGGAAACGGAGGGGGAGAGAGTGGCGCAGCTTAGTGAGGTACGGGAGCGCATGACGTTATTTTCCTGTACGTAATTTTGCCCTCAGAAAACCTGAACTGAACAAAGGGAACTCGAGCGGNAAGGTGAATGTTATAATCGAATTTCATTCATAAGATTTGATTCTCACGCGACTGAAGCGATCATAATTTACCGATTTTTAATTTTAAATCAACTACCAACGATTTAATTTCCTCTGATATATTTAGTTGCAACCACCAAATTCCGCTATCTAGAGGATAATCCGCAGCCTCGATATTTTCAGCCCCAACAGCCAGTCGAGCAGTGGCCTCCACCGCATGACAAAACCTTCTCTCCAGCCTCCGTTTACGGACCACTTATTGTCTGCTGGATTTTTATCCTAGCGGGAAGATGGAGGGCGGCAAGCTTTCCTTCGGACGACCTCGTCAGCGGGGGAGGCGCTCACTGGAGACGTGGACACCTGACGACGTGCTACAGGCCGACTACGTGGTTGACTCCTGCGTCTCGGAATAATTTTCTCGAAACGAACCGGGATTAAGGGACGAGGCGATCAATTTCCGGAATAAAAATAATGAACTGAGGGATAATTTATAAAATAAAGGCACTTGTATGAACCGGGACATGACTTGTGACCCGGACTATACAAATTTCCCGGTAAGTCATGAAACGATGCGATACAGATAGATATAAAACGAGACAACGTAACGAGACGAGACATGTCTTCAATATTCCAGACAAAATATGATATTCCATAATGATAAGAAACAAAACGAGACTTTCTGAACCCGCAGACTAAGGAAGACCACGGTAGCCGGATTGATAATGGTGTTAAAAGAGGGTGATGTGCAATTAAGCTACCATTGGCATCCCGCGACTCCTTTAAAGTACTTTACGACAACCAAGCTACAATGAACCGATAATCAGGAATTGAAAAGAAAACAAGGACCAGCAAGACACTTGCGGTGACCCACACGGTTTGACGCCACCAGGGGGCTTGAAATCCCGTCCCCCTTCATATTGACTGTAAATTCCCTCAAATTTGAACATGAATTTTTTAGAAGATAGGTATAACCTACAAAATTATTGACGTTGCGTGTGAGCTGAGCACGGTCGCTGTCAACAACGCGACCGCGAGGATTTCCTGTGAGGTACGGTCATTTCCGACAGTCGTACTACTCAACGGGATTCCACAAAGGATCTATGTTTCAGGTTATTAGGATGTTGAAGTGATTTAAGCTGACAGATTTCCGACTTTTATTGTTTTCGGATCACCTATATCCTGTACTGGAGATTTTGTTTTGCTACAGATTGAAAATGTGCCTATCGACATGAGCGCTCAATTGATTGCACAGCGTCAGGTACGAAAGAACTTCTTAATATGGTATATTCTATTTCCTTCAATTCAGTGATTTGAAATAAAGATCCTTTCATGTATGGTGGAAAATGGCAATATCATATTGAATGGTCTTGTTTTTTAATTCATTCACTTCATTTTTTAAAACCTAATTACGATTATCTCTCCGTAATCATACTAGCGTCAGACGCTCATTTACGACCAGCTTAACAATATTTACATATTATTCATGATAAATTATAACACGTATTGTTGGTCTTGATTCTTTGGACGCTGACTGGGGATGTTTATCTTAAGCCACAAGAGATTTTTGGGCACAATGCAGGCTGCACCTCCACCATAGTACGACAACGGAAGGTCAGGTCTTGCTTTAATCTACGGAAGTTTCACTTACCTTTTGGGCTTTAATTACTCGTATATAATACTGGAAGAATGATTCAAAAATATTTGGTGTAGCAATCAATGAAGAAAATATCGTATAACCAACTAGTATCGAGAAAATGTTAGATAAGTCACGCGCACTCACGCGTTTTGCGATCCTCACGGTTCAAATTTTTCGTTCGCAATAACGTTGGTAATACAAAGTTTCCATAATTTATGTCAGTGTCCGCTAATTGAAAAAATTAGCTAGGGTAACATTCCATATTTCAGACTTGTATCTTATTTATGAGAGATGTTATTGGACGAATTCACGGTTAAGGGGACCGTTTCGGTCAAAAATCGAAAATTTTGGCTTCTCTGGTTTTTAGGCTCAGTTTAAAAGTCCAAAAACTGCTCATGTAAAGAGCCCAAAGCCATGTTTGTGCGTTCATTTTTTTCGTTCACGACAGCCGTCGAAGCGCAAAAAAAACTATACCTTCGATGGTGACCAATTTCAGTTTTTCGGTTCTCCTGAAAAATTGAAATTTTGCATTATGGAAATCGTTCTCCTCATAAATTTTTCAAGCTATAGCAATGAAAGATATACCATTCGATTTGTGAATAAAATCTCAACAATCCATCTGATTTTTTTTATATCGTTATAGTTGGGGTTATATATTGGAAAAAGAGAGGTAAATTGAAAAATTGAAAAATTTCGGAAAATCCCCCCTCTCACCAGAACATATATAATAAATTGGAAAAATTATCGGATGGTTCTTTACGAGTTGAATGATAAGTCTCCCGTTGTTGTAGCACGTTTATCGAAGGAGGACCTTCCTCATTCAATGCAGTACCTACCCTTTTTTGTCGTTTTCTATTAATTTCACGTTTTCTCTCATTTTTTCGAAAAAGTTACACGAACAAAAGGGTCTTAGATTTTTGTTTTACATATGTGTACCAAGTTTCAAAACGATCCGTCTGTATATAAAATTTTTTTTGCCCGAAACTGTTCCCTTAAGAAACGCCACAGGCAGCTACCGCGGCTGAGCGCCTCTTGTTGCCGTCACTAGCATTAGTTCTGTCCCAGCCAACATTGTTCAGCTTATTGCAAATTAGCGTCGCTAGCCTCAAACTTGCACCTTAGCTCCAAATTATGTGCAGTCTGAATGCTTCATGTTCATTTATAAAAACTATTTTTAACAAAAAATAATGCATACCAATTCCATACAATGTGGCTTGTAATAAAAAATAAATCATACGCGTCAATGTCATTATTTCTTTATATATGATCATAAATATTGGGGGCTTAGCGTTCTGTCCTTAAAATTTAGTGACGAACCTGGCACTTTAAAGGAAACAACTCGCTGGTATCGCTAGTTAAAATCTGAGTTAAAATGACAAGAATCATTCATGGTGCAATTAGACGGAATGTTATCATGTTGCCTCGCTATAAGCATTTAGTTAATAGTAGACCAGGAGCTTTCATGGAGGAGCTGCGTGACGAGTGTGAGAGGAATAATAGCACTACATTGTCAGCTCCTGCTACTCCCGGACTGTTCCTCGCGGGGTACGAGTTGTGTTTCAATTAATTTTATACTCGTACATGTTTTGCTTCATGCTGAATGGCAGTTGCAACCTAGCCCCGTTGATAAATTGTAGTAGTAGTAGTACAATGGTTTGCTAGCGCTTTAAAAAAGCAGCGTTAGCATCTCAAAGAGACGAAGTGACAAGGAGAGACAGGTTAAAAGCAACAGCAACTAAGACACTCGAACAAGAGGTCGCTTACACGGGACGTCGGCCACCCGCACGAGAGAGACAGAGGGAAATGTAAGGAATCCTACCTACATAATAACTTAATGTAAGGAATCCTGCCTACATAATAACTTAATGTACGGAACCCTACCTACATAATAACTTAATGTAAGGAATCCTACCTACATAATAACTTAATGTAAGGAATCCTGCCTACATAATAACTTAACCCCACAACTGAGACCTGCAGTCAGACACCGCGAGCTCAGCGGTGGGGCGCTCTGGAACAATCCCCCTAGGAGCGCGAAATCCTACAGGACTTCTGACGAGCACAGACACGCGTCAGAAGTCCCCCCTGAGAGGCCATGGATAAAAATCGACATGCATTTTTCAATTCAATTGGAGCTAACTACAAAAATCAAATAGTCTCAGTTGTCTCGTCATGACTGACTTTACAAGCAATTAACCCTAAAGATTTGTACAGGCCAGTTAAGAACGTTGGACTACTGAAAATATACAGAGTTCACCCTAACTACAGAGAGGTTACATAGTTCTCCCTAACTACGGAGAGGATACATAGTTCTCCTTAACGACGGAGAGGATACATCGTTCTCCCTAACTACGGCACGGATACATCGTTCTCCCTAACTACGGAGAGGTTACATAGTTCTCCCTAATTACGGAGAGGATACATAGTTCTCCCTAACTACGGAGAGGATACATCGTTCTCCCTAACTACGGCACGGATACATCGTTCTCCCTAACTACGGAGAGGATACATCGTTCTCCCTAACTACGGAGAGGATACATCGTTCTCCCTAACTACGGCACGGATACATCGTTCTCCCTAACTACGACACGGATACATCGTTCTCCATAACTACGGAGAGGATACATAGTTCTCCCTAACTACGGAGAGGATACATAGTTCTCCCTAACTACGGCACGGATACATTCCTGTCTCTTATACACATCTAGATGTGTATAAGAGACAGGTCAGGACGTGCGTGCAATACGAACGACGTGGTCAGGACATGCGTGTGATACGAACGATGTGGTCAGGACGTGCGTGTGATACGAACGACGTGGTCAGGACGTGGCGTGTGATACGAACGATGTGGTCAGGACGTGCGTGTGATACGAACGATGTGGTCAGGACGTGCGTGTGATGTTCTCACATTCTTCATAATGCCATTTCATAACGTCCGGTTTACACTCGAGGTCGGCGACTGTATTAAATGTCTTTGGTCATCAAGACTATAAACTAAATTTCGTGGAGCAAGACTTCATGTAAAATCTATGCGGAAAATGCCAGGACAAGATAACTCCACCAAACAGAAGATAAAAATACTCGTCTTGCCAAGGATTCGAGTTGGCAGGCGCTAGGCCTCGACGGCGTGGGAGGAGGCCCAGGCCTTCATGTTGACCATCTTGAGGATGGCCCGCAGACTCTGGCCCGGGCCGCACTCGTAGGTCACGGGGAACTCCTGGTGGGGCTGGCGCTCGTATAGCACGTGCAGGGTCTGCTCCCACCTGCGAAGGGAGGTGCTTCAGGGAGGAGGAGGGGGGAGAGTACTCCAAAATACGGTATATGTATACCTAATAAATATGATAAATATAAAAAATATAATATATATAATAAATATACTAAGTATAACATATATAATAAGTACGCCAAATATTATATAGGTATACAACAGATATAATAAATATGAATATGATAAATATAACAAATAGAAGAGAAATTTAAGTCACTCTGATTTGATAGAACGCCAAACAACAAACAGTTTGGCGTCCAACTCGCGCCAGCTAACTCCAACACACTCTAACTCACTCCGACTCACTTTAAATCACTCCAACTCCTTCCAACACACTCCGATTGCTACTAACTTGACGGAGGAGTAGACCTGCCGCGGCAAGTTCCTCTTGAGCTGCTGCGGGTGGCGGTACGGGCGGCCGTCGATGTTGCTGTGGACGGCCACGTTGGGCGCCTGCAGGGCCAGACTACCAAGCACCTGCAGCAGAAGGCAGGTCTTAATGTCACGCTGGGCGCCTGCAGGGCCAGACTGCCCAGCACCTGCAGCAGAAGGCAGGTCTTAATGTCACGCTGGGCGCCTGCAGGGCCAGACTGCCCAGCACCTGCAGCAGAAGGCAGGTCTTAATGTCACGCTGGGCGCCTGCAGGGCCAGACTGCCCAGCACCTNTGGGTGGACATAAAGCCACAGGTCTGCCTCTGTCTCTTATACACATCTAGATGTGTATAAGAGACAGCCCCCTCACCTCCTCGCTGCCCCCCACCACCCTGCACTGGGGGGCCAGGTAGTTGGCAACCCTGCACTCGGCGCCCCCCACCCCCCGCTGGAGGCAGAAGTTCTTGGCGGCCTCACAGGCGAGGCCCAGGAGGCTGTCGTGGCCTGTGAAGACGGTGAGGAGGCCACCCGCCTGCGCCTCAGAGGCCGCCTGCATCGCCTCCGCCCGCACCTTGATCAGGCGCACGGCTGTAGGGCGTCATACAGAGGGCGTCATACAGAGGGCGTCATACAGAGGGCGTCATACAGAGGGCGTCATACAGAGGGCGTCATACAGAGGGCGTCATACAGAAGGCCTCATCACCACCTCCAATCACCTTCACATTCGCAACTATCCACAACTGATCACCCACATCACATCCTCTGATAACCCATCAGTCACACACAGGACCGCATGGGCTTGGTTCACACCAGCCGAGCCAGCCACGATCAAGGCAGAAGATATTTTGACCGGGACGTGACTGTAGCGTCGCCAAATATTTTTCGTCAAGTATATCATATCAGATTGCCAGCTCAACACACCGGAGTGTACCAAATATACCAGATAAAAAATATCCATACCAGACGCACTCTCAACACACCAAATTTGTGAAATCTGGTATGGAAATATACCAGTTAACAATGCTGCTTGTCTGGCATGACACGCAATACGAAAGAAACTGAAGTGAGAACGGGCCAGTGACCGGACCGAACATGTGAACTGCAGGCAACGGACTGTGACTGGCATATGCCCGACGCGTGCCCGGCAGTGTGGTGTGAACCAAGCCTAAAAGTCATCCCTCAGCCCCCGCAAGGTCCGCCGAGGGTCCCCCACAAATCAGTTTCCAAACATCACTCACGCCCCCATGTCACCAGATTCCCCCTCACCGTCCTCGAAGCTGAGCGCCCCTGCGAAGGTGAGCGCAGTGATCTCCCCGACGCTGAAGCCTGCGCAGGCAATGCAGGCCTCGACCACCGCGGGGGCGTCCTGCTGCAGCCTGCAGGGGGATGGGATGTTAGGGTGTTGCTGCAGTCTATAGGGGGGAGAGGGTAGTAGGGTACTGCTGCAGCCTGCAGGGGAGGAGATGTTAGGGTGTTGCTGCAGCCTGCAGGGGGATGAGGTGGTAGGGTCGTGCTGCAGGCTGCAGGGGGGAGAGGGTAGTAGGGTCCTGCTGCAGGCTGCAGGGGAAACGGGTGTTAGGGTCTTGCGCTGGCCTGCAATACAGGAAGTTATTTTCCTGCTGGGTGGGCTGGACAAGCATTAAGCTTCAATCAACTGACCGGTTTACGGTGGCCTGGATAAGCATCAAAGTAACTGCAGACTGACTTGTACAGAGCGGCGAGGGAGCAGACGAGGATGGCGGGCTGCTGGACCTGTGTGCGGGACAGGAAGACATCGGGGCCGTTGAGGCAGGCCTCCAGCAGGTCGAACTCCAGCACCGCGGACGCTGCGGCGAACAGGTCCTGCACACCTGGCACGTCCAGCAGGTCTCGCCCCATGCCTGCCGGAGATGATAGATGTACTTAAATCCCATCAATTATAGACTATCGCACCTGTTTTGGACGATAAAGTATAACCAGCAGCATTATAGCTGTAAACAGTACAAGGAAATGACACATCTGACCCTTCCATGCAAATTAAAAAATCTACTGATTTTTTTGTGCTACCTATTGGAATAAAGATGAGCCATCACCTTGAATGTAATGAAATAAATCGATTATACACTAAAATTACTCTTATTAGTGGGAACAAATTGCATGATAAGCAAGTAACACATGAAAAACTAAGAAGCTCAAATTTGAAAAGTTAAGTAGTAACATGGCACCCAATGAGGAAAAGGCACATCTTCAACATTGCAGGATAGATTAAAATAATAAACATAACCATACATTCACAAGTTAATAGAAACCATGATTTGGATTTATTTGAAAATATCTATTAGATTGACTATGAATAGTAATTTATTACATAGATTTCAATTCCACAATAATGCCAGATGCAATGGCAGATAAAATATGAGATAAGACAACTGACCAACATACTGAGTGCCCTGGCCAGGGAAGAGGATGACAGTTGTGGCTGAGGGCGTCACTGAGGGCCGGTACGAGAAGCGGGCCTGGCTTCTCTTACTGCATCAAAACTCATTATATTAAATTCTTAGTTTTTCATAAATCTTTTATTATTTGTACCAATGTTAAAATGAAGCAAGGTAGTATTTCGATATTTTAAGCAGTATGATATGATTTAGATGATAAAGTCACAAATAGGAAGTAATATCAACTTGTATTCATTAACTTGGGGAGTTAGTGAAGGTATCTCTACACAATAGATTGAAGTCATAATCCTAAATCATCTATATATCTATGCGCAATCTATCCAAGTTGAAGCTCACAACCAATATTTTGCAAGACTATTTTTAAAATCAAGTTGCTTCTGCCATCTAATCCTATGAAATTTATCAAAGGAACTTGGAATTTAAAAGGAAAAGTTCATTTTCTATGACTGAAAAACCTTCAATGAATTTAAAATTCATTAAATTCCAATGACCAACTCTTTTGGTACCTTTAGACAGGGGACAGCACAAGAGACTTTGCATGATGACTATTTGGGAATATGGGGAGGATGAAGGGTTTAGACTTTAAACATTTTTATTTTGAAATGTTTTGATATAAAAATTTAATGCAACTAAAATTCATTAATAATAACTCAGTTTAGATTTGCTGCAGAAAATATGGCCACCTAGTCTGATAAGACATTAGTAGAAATAGAGGAACCCTATCAAAACATTTGTCAAGAGAATCTCCATCTTTCTGTAGATTTGTAGAAGAAATAATCTGAATATATCACCAAAGTTATCCCTGTAGGACGGCATTAAAATCAAGAAAATCTTGCTACTATATGTCAGCTTGGGTTGAAGTTCATTGGTAAATATCAAACTGGTTCCCTGCAAGTTCATTAAACTTTGTAAATACATTTAATCCTATCTTGCAATGGGTAAGGAACCTTTCAGTGACATTGTGTGGGTAAGGTCCCTCAGCGTAAAGCTTCTGGTGCTTCTCTTCTTTGGTCAGGGGTGGCTGGTCTGACCTGACACCATTGGTTGCTGTGCCTTCATCACCTTCATCATTGCTGCCACCATCACTTGAACCTGCTTTGCATTTTAGTGGTGTGATACATACGGTATTTAAAAGTTCCTTCTGAACATCCAGAATTTTTAAAATATCTAATGGACAACATATGAAGATTTGTGAATTGATTAACATTACAGCCTAATACTTCATAAGAACAAAGTTAGACAAGTGCTGGTAGAATAATTGATTAACATTACAGCATAATACTTCATAAGAACAAGTTTAGAGGGGTGCTGGTGGAATAATTGATTAACATTACAGCCTAATACTTCATAAGAACAAGGTTAGGTGGGTGCTGTTGGAATAAAATTCCATATAATTTATCGGTAATATCGCAGGAATGTGGAACATATTAAACCAACCAAAAATATGTAGGTAGTCATGAATCTGTATACAATAATCTATCATTGTAAATTCATTTAGTGTTAGAAATTTAAACATTCAGCACCTATAGTTTCATTATGTTTTGATTAACATGTTAATAGCAAGCAATAAATTCATATTGATATAGGTACTACTCACTAGACTGTTAAACCCTTCATCAGCTTGGATGCTTTCTAGATGATTTTTCAGGCTTCAACTCAAACATCAACTTCATTGAGTATAGAACTTCAGCTTTGCAATTTTGCCATTGTTAATTCATGGACAAGTAATAAGATTAGTTAAATTATTGAATTAATCAAGGATAATAAGTAACTGGAGAATTTCTACAGTATAACCAAACTTATTGTTTAAAAAGTGTAATTTTGACAAATATGTACATAACTGAGATATTCAATTATAAGTAAAAACTAAGATACTATTTCTCTAAAGATGAAATAAATTAAAGTAACATGAACATCATTCATGGACAAATAATGCTAGGCACAGTTGCACTAACCTCTTGATCGGCCTGTTGATACGAATCTCTGCAGCAAATGCCAGACTCTACTACTGCTCAGAACACAGCAATGAGCAGATAATGCAGATCTTGAGGCAGTTGAATGCAATAATTTGGGCACAAAATATCTTCTATTAGAACAATTTATATTTGAACTTTGGGGTTTGTTCAAAGAGCTAGGTAAATTTAACGATTGAGCTTGATGACAGGCACTTATGGAAAATTTGTTACTAGAATAAATGAAGCAGCTATTCCTTAATTTTACAATATGAACAATATTTTTTTCTAGTACTTTGTTATACATTTGAAAAACTCAGTCACGGCTCACCAAGTAGATAGGTATATTCCATGCCTGCGCAGGAGCATAGGTTCAGTTTTAAAATACCTAGCAACTTATGTCTTATGGACCAGGCATTAAGTCAAGCAGCTATCTCAAACAATTGTCAGCTATGAAAAGATCATGTTCAGAATCAGAAGGCCAGATCCCTTAAGTTGTAGACAGTAGAATCAAGTCACAAAAAGTACCTACAAGAATTGGCAACAGGCCATGGGCCTTTTTTTTAGTGAGAAGTTGGCCAGGTACAATTCTATTCTAAGGTGCTCCCATCAAACAGGATAATAAGGGACACTTTCTTCATTTGTTGTTGGCAATTTGACAATTTCTTACCATTAAACATTTTATAAATGAGTTTGAGTTCATTTTAAAGGGCTTTGCAAGGGCTATCTTAGGACTGAACTTGGAGAAGGGAGCTAGAAAGGTAGCTGAGCAACTGAGGAAAGTAAGCTTTTGTCATTTTTAAAATCATTTAAATAATTAAAATCACTTATAAGTTAATAAGCCTAGGCAAGCATGGAAAACATCTGCCTTTAGCCTCCTAGGTATATGGTCATATGGCATTTTAAAACCAATGGCAATGGAAATAAGAAATTTCCCAGTCAAATATTGACTTTTCAATTTAAATCAATTTCAAAATTAGACACATTGTTAGAAGCCTTGAACTTAGAAGGAGTTGCAAGAGGTCTGGTCCAAGGGTAGTTGCAAGTCTGCAAGGGGCCGTGCAATGGGTTGAGCTTGAGGCCGCTATTCTATTTATGACATCAGCAGATAATAGATTATAAGATAAGGAATCATCATTCACAAGTTATACAAAACATCTATAGAATATGGATAGCAACAGAGGGCCTAAAGCATCAGTTATTAAATTCTGGGATCTGGGTTGGCATCAAAGTTTTGAAGAAAACGTGCTACTTGATGATGATGATGATGTCTTTTTTCAGGCGTCGTAAAGGACCCCAAACAGGTCAGTTGTCACACCTGGACACGGCAATTTCAACGCTTCTTTTCAAGTTTGCTTAGTCGTCACTGCCTCACTGGTTTCTATGATTTCAAGAGCAGTAAACTTGGCAGGGCTTTAGCTTCACAATGTCCCCATCCGGCCGGTACTTGTGAGAAAGGTGATTACGGCCTTGATCACAAGGTGTTGCTCCTGTTTTGTGAGGTCACTACCTCCCAGCAAGATTTGCACCGTCATGGTCTGTATGCCAATATTTTGCAAAGTCCTTCTCATGAGTTGGCGAGACGTGCTACTTGAAGGAAGCCGACGCAAAACATGTAAACAAACCATCCGATTCCGCACCCAAATAATTTTTTGTACCACAATCATGAATATTTCAATTACCACACAATTACACCACTCAGATCCCTCTACTCATCTTACCTCTTTTTCATTCTCATCACTCTTACCAATTTACCACACCACTCATCTACTAACACCGCTTACAATACTCAACCAAGCATACCACTTCACCTCATACCATTCCACCACTCATACAGCTCCGCCACTCTACCGCACTACCACACATACCACTCCACCACGCCTACCACTCCACTACGCATGCCACTAGGCCACGCATACCACTACACCACGCATACCGCTTAACTACGCATACCACTCCACCACGCAAACCACGCTTCCACTCCCACCCCTCTTGCAGATTTCCACCACTTTTCCACTCACACTACCCTATCACGCATGCCATTCCTGATTTATAACATTTCAAACTCACAACACTCTACTTCTCACACCACTCTCTCATCCACACTACTCTCCCCACTCCACTCTCCCACCCACACCACTCTCCACCCACACCACTCTCCACCCACACCACTCTCCACCCACACCACTCTCCCACCCACACCACTCTCCACCAACACCACTCTCCACCCACACCACTCTCCACCCACACCACTCTCCNTTCTCGCGTTCGAAATGTCCGCCATATCCACTCCATCCGTTGCCGGCTGCGGGCAGTATGGGCATCACACTGTTGAACTTTCCTCGATGTGGGCATCAAACGTGGCTCCGGTATTCATCAACGCTCCGAGATCTCGAACCAGTTGCTTCTCCTCAATTTCTGTGCCATCTGATGCCAAGTTGCGATGTAACATCCCTATCTCTGTGCGGACTCTGTATCTCACTACTTCGAACTTTGTGCCGTTGAACTGCATATTGTTCGCTAGGGCCCAATCGTAGATTATCGATAAGTCATCCTGTAACCTCTCGCAGTCTAGGTCATCTGTGATCTTCATCAGCACTCTTGTATCGTCCACAAATGACGATGTAGATGCGTGGGTAAGTTCCGAGTCGATATCAGTAATGTGGATGAGGTAAGAGGATCGGTCCAAGCACTGAGCCCTGTGGAACTTCGCTTTTCACCCCCGCTTCTCTCGATTTTAAGTTTCCAATTGCGACAGCTTGTACTCTATCTGTAAGGAAGTTGTGATTCCAACTTAACAGGCTTCCTCCTACCCCCAACAGCCTCAGCTTTTTAAAGAGCACCCCATGGTGAACTTTGTCGAATGCTTTAGCAAAGTCTAGGTAAACTAATTCCACGCGAGCTTCCTCCTCCAGCTGGGCCACAAGACGGTGATGGTGCTCCAGTAACTGCGACAAACAGGAACGATTACGCCGGAAACCATGTTGTCCATTATTATACAGGTCATCCTCTTCCATATATTGGAAAAGCCTCCTGGCCACTACCTTCTCGAATACCTTGATCACATGTGAGGTCAAGGTCACAAGTCTGTAATTTTTAGTTTGTCCCACGCACCTCCATTGTGGATTGGGGTTATCAGTCCCACTTTGAGGCCCTCAGGGATAATTTAATTCCCTCCGTCATCGAGGCTTTCCAGAGCATTGAGAGCAGAGCCTTAAGTGCCCTAAGAAAGTTCTTCAACAGCCCTGCCGGAAATACATCGGGCCCTGCTGCTGTCAACGTAGCCAGTTCTTTAATACTTATTTCCATATCTTTTGGTCCCAAATCAATGTTTTCCAACCACTTCCCGCAGGCAGCTTCTAAGGAATTTCGATTTCATTCTCATGTCTTTAGTAGCGGGGGGTTACTGAAAACTGATTCAAACAGCAATGCCAGTCACTCACACACGCTCTGGTTATCTCCTCCGACTAGGACATTATTATTATTATTATTCTACGAAGCATTTATCGTGGCGTCCCACATCCCACTCACTCCACTCCCCACTCACACCACTTCATCATTTACGCCACTCCACCACTCACAATACTCCACCACTCCTCACTCACGTCACTCCCCACTCACCCAACTCTCCCGATCACACAATTTTCCGGTAAATGTTCATCTAAACAAATTTTTCATATCCAGGATTAAATTATCATCACAAACCACGTCTTCATAAGTAACATACGTTTGGTCAATATGAAATAAAATTAAACACCGTGGCAATAACAGATTCGTTTTCATAAACTTTATTAAAGTTATCCGCCTTCATGTCTCCCAAGAGACGCCCATAAAACGGCTACAATGCGGCGTCAAGTTTAGCTGACGCGCGGATGTTAGAGCGCCACTTGCTTACAAAACAGAGCAAGCACAACAGCTCCTGCACCGAGGCATTCCTGGCGAGTGTTTGAGAACTGCGTCAGTGTAGCCTGTGCTGTGCGTGTGCTGTGCGTGTGTCGTGCAGCTGCTGTGCACGTCTCATGCAGCTGCTGTGCGTGTGCTGTGCGTGTGTCGTGCAGCTGCTGTGCATGAGCTGTGCAGCTGCTGTGCACGTCTCGTGCGTCTTCTGTGCATGAGCTGTGCACGTCTCATGCAGCTGCTGTGCATGAGCTGTGCACGTCTCGTGCAGCTGCTGTGCATGAGCTGTGCACGTCTCGTGCAGCTGCTGTGCATGAGCTGTGCAGCTGCTGTACACGTCTCATGCAGCTGCTGTGCATGAGCTGTGCACGTCTCATGCAGCTGCTGTGCATGAGCTGTGCACGTCTCATGCAGCTGCTGTGCATGAGCTGTGCACGTCTCATGCAGCTGCTGTGCATGAGCTGTGCACGTCTCATGCAGCTGCTGTGCATGAGCTGTGCACGTCTCATGCAGCTGCTGTGCACGTCTCATGCAGCTGCCGTGCATGAGCTGTGCACGTCTCATGCAGCTGCTGTGTATTAGAATATTATAGAAGTGTCGGCATTGAAGAAATAGGCCCATGGCCTGTTGCCGATTCTTGTACTTTTCGTGACTTGATTCACAAGGGATCAGGCCTTTTGAACCTTATCTTTCCATAACTGACTATTGATTGGGATAGTTCTGATTGATTAGCTGTGCACGTGAGCTGCAGTAGCTGTGCAGAGGCTTGTTATTTATAGTTCCACATTCTAAGTAATCCCGAGCAGATGAGCAATGGCGACCGCTTTTATAACTCTCCTCTTGCCCCTTCTGCCGGCTGCAGGTGAGGCATGGAGAAATTTTATGTTATTTATGTTTCTGAGTCCTATCCCGTGGATTTATGTTCCAAAAAAAAATGTAAATTTTGAATGTTTGACTCTGTCTGTAAAGGAAGATAGTAAGTTTTGTTAATTTTCATTATGTTTTAATAATAAAGTTCAACCAGTTTTCCAATTCCTAATCGCCGATGTTAAAATTCATTCATCAGTCATTCTCAGTGTAACTTGCACGTGTTTTCCTCCGAGCAGCCGAGATGCGATCGCGGGAGTCTGGGTGCTTGGTTCTGGGCAAATTCTACCCTTCAAATGAGGTGCGTCAAGTTCAACCAAGCGCTAACTATCCGGGGCGAATCGGGAGGGTATAAAACGGACTTCACTTAAATGAATAAAAAGAAAGTCAGCAAGTCTCGAGAGTTTGTCGGCCAAGATATTTCGTAGCTGAATTCTATTCCTGGTCACTGAATATGCTAGAAATGTTCATTAACTAGGTTGCTTATTTTGCTAAATTTGTGCTAGACATGATTGAAAAACACTTAGCGTGCTGGAAATGGTC